CAGAGACCGTCCCACAGACATACAGACACCACCAGCCGCCCCCGCACCAGCGGCAGCAGCAGCAGCAGCAGCTTCAGTCCAGGAACCAGGATCTAACAGGATCGTGAACCCGTTCTTCTTCGCTCTTTTCCTGGAGAGTAGCTGCAAGGGAATCCTGGGTGTACCCCTCTTCCTCCTCTTCCTCCTCTTCCTCCTCCTCCGCTGAGACAGACAGGCTGTTATGAGACAGTGAACCCTCCCTCTCCTCTCTGTCTCTCGCTCTCCCTCACCCTCCCTCCCTCCCACAGGTTGCGCATCTCTTCTCGTCGAGATCCCATTTCTTCAGCGCATCTTCCTCCTCCTCCTCCTCCTCTTCCTCCTCCAACAGCTCCACAGACGTCGTCTCCTGTCGGAGGTTCCTTCACTCCCGCTGCACATTCACGATGTAACGGTCCATGTTCCGCTGCGTTCCAGAGGTGTTTTCCCGGATGGAGAACTGTACAGACGGCTAATGAAGAGCATTGATCTTGATTGACGCTGGTGACGTCATCACATGTCAGTTACACCTCAGTCGTGCAGGATGTTGGACATCTGAACCATCTGAATGTTCACGCTCCTTAGCTGTTCCCTCCAGTCGCCCCCCCCCACACCCCCCTCTGCTGGTGCACCAACCGTCATCGTAGCTCTTTGCTAGTTCATCTTTATGACTTGATGTTTGTTTTTGGCCGGATCGTACAGTGCGGCGGGCCATAGTAGGCCCACGGGCTGCAGGTTGATGATCACCGCTCTAATCACTCACCCTGACTCCAATCAGTACAAAGTTATACCTCATCTTTATTCATTTCAACATAGGGATCGTGGCGTCGCATGAAACGTCTAGTGGTTGACCAAAAAAAAAAAATTTTTTTTCAATTCTTATTTTTTTGTAAAATTGATTAAAAACACACAGTGAATATAATGAATATAAAATATAAAAAAATAAAACAGATACAAATGTTAGAGATGGAGCTAGAAAATAAATCAAACTAATCTGGTTACTATAACCTTCACTAAACTCCAAACTAGAGGATGGCGTTGTCTCCCCCGTGTCATGAACAACGTCGGATCGTCACAGTCCGACTGGTTTCCTGCGTCAACAGGTGAAGTTTTGTTTGTTGTTTTGCTTCTCACTTTGTCAAATTCAAATCAAGCCTCAGGCTCAACGTCGGCCTAAATATATTTCAGGCATGAAATAGAAGTCACTCACGGGGAGAGAAAAAAAAAATCCACTGAAATTCAAAATATGTTTTTTATATTTATTTAGTCAGAATTATTCATGGGGGGACAACACATCTTCAAAGTCAAGCTCCAAACGAAGTCAATAAATATGTGGAGGAAATACCGCAGTGTGTCCACCAGGGGGGTTGGGCAGTGATGGAAAAAACTGAAGCTTCACTTTGAACTTGAGAAAAAAAACTGTGACTCAGTTTAAGACACTAAACATAGGAGATAATTAATCATTAACTATGATGTAATTATAGAACTTATACCAGTTATAAACTACTGATGCTTAATGACATAATTACGACACAATATTTTATACCAGTTATAAACTACTGATGCTTAGACGTTTAACGTCTAAGACGTTTAACAGAAGCACAAAAATCTGTCATCAGATTTCCGTGCGTTTTATGTTTGACATCAACATAGTAAAAAAAGGATTTTCTGATAAGGATAAGTTTAACCTTCCTGAGGTTAAAAACATGTTGCGGTCGAAGCCATTTTTTCTTCTAAAATCATCAGTTTTTTTTTACAATCATTTTCAGTGACTGTTGCATTGTGGGTCGCATCTCAGCGGGCCGTTCCGTTCATGCTCAGTTCGGCTAACGTATCCGTGATTCTCTCCGTCTCCCTCTCTGTGTCTGAGCTGACCACAGATTGGGTCACTGTGTGGCCCGCGGGCCGTTGTTTGAATCGACTTCTTCTACAGTCCACTTGTCAAACTGTTAACTGAGGGAAACTCTTCGCTGACCTTTTCTTTTTTTCCCTCTTCTTTGTTCCTCACTTGTTCAGTCCAGTTTTACGTAACCTACAGAGTTGGCATTTGTAGGAAGCGTACCAATCTTTCAGGAAATGAGGACGGGATGTGGCCCAGACTTCCCGCGTGTTCCGACCTGAAGAAAATAATAAAAACAAAACTCACAGGAAACAACTTTCTGTGTGAAATTGATTCATGTCACATTTCTTCACACAACGAGACTCTGCGGTCCACTGCCCCCCATGTGCACCCCCCCCGCCCCCCGGCGGAGGTCACGTGTAGCCCGCAGCTACGTTAGCGTCGATGCATTCTCTCCATCACTTGACAACAACGTCAATAAACATATTTCCTGAAATGTCAACCGAAAAACATGTAAAATAACCTTTAGAGCGGAGAGCAGGCGGACGGCGCACTTGCAGCTAATTACCACAGGGGTCACTAATCATGAGAGGCTGTTTTTGCAGATTTATTGGAGACATGACATTCCACACAGTGGTTAATGAACAAAACCTGAAAAAAAAAACCCAGGGAGGGACACGATGACGCGGTCGATGTTCGATGTTCGACGCCCGGCCTCTATATCAACAACACAGCAGGACACGCTAAACATCCCACAATCCCCCTCTCCAGAATCCCCAGATCCTGCCGACGGCCTGTTGGCGGCGTGTTTCAGCGGCCGCTCCTTCACAGACTGACGGGTCTGTTCCCCTCCGTCTGTGCTGCGCCTGA